GCCGTAATCACAATTTTATCGAGACTGGGCTGAAAACGGGAGAAGCAAGTGCTATGCTGGGATGGGTTGTAAATTTATCTACCCCAGCTCACTTCCTCTTGTACAAAGCTCAAGTCCGTCATGTACCATAGTCGCGCATAGAGTGTGAACTTTTTCTTCCGTCCTCTTCCTGTACTAGTCAAGCTGTATAGGTTAGCAGATTATGGGCTCCAAAAACGTGTGTTCGAATCCCACCACCATCGACTCACTTTCCCTGTTGCATGGCAGCCCTTTAATTTCCCCTTCCTGGAAATTGTATCATTGTGTATTCAATAAAAGAGAAAATATGTTGCTCTTGTTCAGCGGAACACCATTCGGTTGACCAGTTACACTTCTATAAATTCCAATCCGTAGTTATTACCCATCGTCATATTGGGATATAAATGTACATGGCCGTACTTTCTGTTCCCCGAAGCCTGTTTCAACAGTTCCTATTTCTTTAACATGTCCACCTATTCAGTCGATAGACGTACTTCTCTCTGTGGTTTCACCTCGTTAAAAGTTGAACTGTGGAGCATTCTTCCACGCTCTGTTTCCCCATTCATCTTTCACTCTTTGAACACAGGGTGTCCCCTAAATTCTCGTTTTCAGTATCTTGATCACGAGTTTAATTCTGGTACTGTAATTGATTTTGTGTGGAACGAGCAATAGCGCGCCCCCTGAACGGCTGCGTTACAATTTCTCACTACCGTTACATTCTAGAGTTTACCAAGCAAATTGTCCAATATGCGTGCTTTACCTATATGCAGTGAAATAAGACGGTTAGGTACCCTTTATGCAAGCTTTATGAAAGCTGATAAGCAGGGTCAACCAAATGAATTACTTAGGTGTCACACTTATAAGTAACCTTCGCTGGTCTTAACATACCCAAACTGTTACTCGCAAGCTGAAAGTTCTCGCTTTTCAGAAAAGAAGACTGCGCCACTGTCTCTCTGATTTTTCGGTAATAGAACCTTTTGTTCAGTAATATGTTCTCCTTATACCCCTTTACTGCTCCTTGTGATTTTTTCTGGTTGACTGAAGGCCGATTTCAAGCTGCTGAAGCGTGGCCTCAATGATCATCCCTATTTCCCAAGTTCCGTTATCTGTTCTTATGGACAATATATGTGTTGCTCATACTTTTGCATGCTTTCCTGATATTATTTCATCTAATTTCGCCCATCCTTTACACATTGACATGTGTGCATGCAAATCCCACCGCTCCACCCGTTTCAAATGCAAACTCATCTCATCTGGAATATCTGCCAACAGAAATTCTTTGGTACCCTATTTTCTCCGGACACTGACTGACGAACAGAGCTTTCAAATGCATTTAGTAGCTATTTCACTTTTGCACACTTGATTTCTCACTTTTCCCCCTGTTTGTCAGTATTGTGACGGTGGTCTCTTTTTGTCGGAAAGCATATATATATATATATATATATATATGTGTAAAATACACTTCCTGGATACAAGCATATGAATGAACTGACAAAAGATTACGGGATACGCATGCCTGACAAGCGGCAAGGACCGCGAAACCGGTCGTGTGCTTCCAGGGAAATTTTGTCCAGCCATTCACATACTACTTATTATGATATATATATCACACGCGTTTGACGTCAGTCTGTGTGCCACACAAATCACGGTACAATAATCTTTATAAAATGGAAAGCTCTCCATGATTTGCACGTGGGCTGAATACTGCCAGGTTACCTAGGTCGAAGCAGAGGAATTCACAACCGGAGCCTTCGGCTAGCCAAAGCCGCAAGGCAGCGGGATAGTGTGTGAAAAGCGCAATCCGTTGGGGACCGGTGTCCAGTTTATCGGGTCATTCACTCTTTGGACGGGGTCAAACGTCCAAGGTGCCCAGTACACCACGATGCCCAATCGAGCCGGTGACCACTATCACCGTAGAACGTTTGAGTAAACGCCATTCACTTCCAGCAGCAATGTATTTCCAGTTTTTTGCGGATATCGGAATAAACAACGAGTGGTTAGAAATGTTTCTAAATGATCATCCACATTCCCCGTCATTTGCCTGGCAGAAATTTCGCCATATACTTATCTAGCATTCCTTTTGACTGAAACGGTTGAATCGAATCAATAAGTGAGATGTGTAGCGTGGAGGTTAACAAATGACGTAGAACCCAGGTATGGAGAACTTTGCGGAGAGATTAGGCAGAGTAGACTTCTCTAGTTCTCCCATTTTACACTTGTTGGTTGATTGAGGATACTAAAGGACGTGGCGGCGAACAGGCAACACTGAGGTTCTTGTTGTCAGTGTCTCTAGTGTCCAAATGCTTGAAGAGGTGTTTGTATTAGCAGTTAAACTGGGTACGCCGTATGTTGACCATGGAAGTTCAGCTGCATTTCTCTACCCGCAAAACAGATCTACCCCTTATCCACTTAACACATTTTTAGTGCCTTTTTACTTCCATTTTTATTTATTTAATATATAAATGTACAATGAAATTTCAGGAAAGGGGCCGCAACCATACAAATGCTGTCTGGGAAAATACAGAAATGGGAAAGATTTGTATTTACCTTCCACATAAGGTTGAGCTTGGTGTTTATCAGTGAGGTTCAGCCTCATTGTTTTTCACTGTCTGATGATGCTGGTGATAATGTTGGGAAGGTTATCCCATCACTGGGGGAGAGAGCATTTGGATAGTTTTGAGAACTTGAGCCTGGGTTTACACAAAGTCTAAGGCATTTTGTCGTTATTGTTACCTTCATTCGGTCTCATTTGAAGCGACTGAAAGAGACGGGTTGCATCGGTTTGATTAAGTTTGTGGTTTTATCAGTTGCTTGATTTCTTGTTATTATTCTATTGCAATTACCCAATTGTTTGAACCAGCTGGTTGTGATTTATTTTTCACTACACCCTCCCCCCAAAAAGGAAAAAGATAAGACTGCGTTTTTTTACCAATTTTAGTGATTGATATGGACTATTTTGTATTGCTTCTACTAGATGTTTGTTTTGGGATAAATATTCATTCAAACTAAACGCACGTGTCTTTCTATGTGAGATACATTGCCCTTATGGTTCCGGTCTGCATCATCCCAGCTAATTCGACAGCATGGGTATGCCCTTTCATAAATTTTCACCAGATGCACTCCGCCCCTCCCCCTGGGGTCCTGTCAGACGTTTTAAGCTCTTGCTTCGTTCGTTTCCACGTTTTCCTTCCTTGTGTTAGAACACGCTGGTCAATTGGAGTAGAGTTTCGTTTGACACACTATGCTCATCCCATACATCTGCCTATTCTTATCCATTGCTCAGCCGACCTCATATGACCTATTGACCTGAACAAATCGTGTGCTTTTTGCTTGAACTGGACAGTGCCTTTGTTCTTCGTTTACCCGTGCCTCTAAACTAACTCGCAGAGTTTTGCTTAATGCCCCATCGTTCTCCCTTCCTGCTAGTCATCCTCACTGCGGCCGTGGTCGTTTTTATCCTTACCTGATTTGAAGCTTATTGATAATATGCTTAAATTTGAGGGAAACTTATCCTAAATCCAACTGTTCTGTGGGTGCAATTATGTGCTCACACTCGTACACTTCATTCATATTGTATTGTAATAACTTCTGCAAGCACGAAGCCCACATTTCAGTTATAAGTCAATTCAAACCAAGAAACGCTTCATACACCCAAAGGGTGAAGTTTCAGTAGACAAACTGCGTAAACCCAGCTTCATCTCGTTTTCGTTTGGTTGACTATGCACATACTTGTCTCCCTTAATACTATGTCTCAGTTTGTTCTGTGAATGGGTTTTGATTTTCATGTCGAATTAGATGTTATTTGACCGTGAAGACCCAGTTAGTTCGTCCTTTTTGGACTGAAACTAGTTCATCTCTTAGATCGCACCTAGTCCTTATGTCGTTTGTCTGTTCTTGTTTTTCGTCGACTGTTCACCGCAGCCGTCTGTCTTTCATCCGA